TAATTAATCACAATTTAATATCAACAGAGTGAAATCTTGGAGCAAGCGAATAAGTGAGTAAATGAAAGTTGAAATTGTAAATGGAAGCATATTTTAAAGTAAAATTTCGGAGCTGACTATTTCGCGGGAATTATCACACGATGATTCGATATACATAATACGACAATTATAATAGAGACATTTATATTTCATTTGAAACGAAGCATTTATCAACGGTGAATTTAAAGGATGAAAACTTCCGTACTATCAGCAATGCAGATCGAAATGGGAGAATACTCAGTCAGTTCTCATTTCGCAGTGAAACGCAAGCAGATGCGATTTCTATAGTATTGTGTTCCAATGTCTCTAATTCCATTGTTTCCTTCAACTTCTTCGTGCACAATGCAAAAATAAACGCGACACGAATTTGTTATGTAATTCTCCCTCCGTTGCATTATCCCTACTGAAATCAGAAGAATAACGATTGTTCAATGCTGTGCTACAGTTATATTTATTTTCTCTTTCCGAGCAATCTATTCGAAGCTTGGTCATCGACTAACTCGTTCATGGTATTAATCGCATTCTGAACGTCCAATATCTTAAAGTAGAACGTCGAAAGTCCAGGTTAGCGAATATTATAGAATATTAATATCTTTTAATGAAAAGATCTCGATCGACTCGTATTTCTTCGGCCAATATGAATTCGTAGTTAATTTTTTACTCACTTTCTCATGAAGTTAACAATTGGCAGTAGTTGTTGAGATGGTGGGATATTTATGCAGATTTATATTTTTGAAGATATAATACATGTGATGAAAGTAGAATTCAGTTAGGGAATTGTCATTTTTATTAAATGTCGTTTTTAGTTATCTTATTTCAAAGAAATTCAGTTACGTTGAGGAAGAAATTCTGATTTTTATTAGCAATTCTAATTTATATATTTTTTTACATTCCATTCGTCGATTTTATTTTCATTGGAACTATTAACAATTTACCATAGCTGAAAATAACATTCGTGATAGATTCTGTATATTACAAAATGAAATTTTCTGAACATTCACTGTTGCAATTTCTCTTTAAAAATAAATCTATCAAAACATATTATATATTATATATATAAGTGTATACTATATAAATACATTAAACTATGTTGTTTAATATAATAAAAATAAATACAATAATTAATACATTAAAAATAAATTATATATTAAACTATATAGTTTTACAAATTACTTTTATTTCATATTAACAGAAATTAATATTCGTCGAAGATACAAACGAGATTATTGTTCAACGACAGAGAAAAAAAAGGAAATCCATTCGACCATAATAAATTGTTTCTAGGAACAAACGAAAGTAGGCTACGACTTCTGATTCCAAGAATTTACGCACACGTTCCTCGAACGAGAGAAATACAGGGAATAATCTAACAACCTCGTGACACGTATTTTCTTTACACTTTGCTCAAGTCAACGTCCTTGTGACAAGGTATGTGTAATTCGGGGAAAACACGTGGCGAAGACGAGAGAGAGTAAGGGTAAACGGCTTACGGACATGTTGAGACTCATTTTATTTACCCCTTGGACTTAGTCGAGTGAGGACGCGACGTGATCAAACGGAGACATTTCTCTCGTTCATTTTGTTTCAATCTATCCGAAGATTCTCATGAAATTTATTCGATTGTCTGCAAAGTACGGTATATTTTTGCAACGTGTTTAAGATCGTGAAATGACGCGAACGTTTAATAAAAGAGTACGCTTGAACGTGATATTAAATAGGTAAAGTTACATTACAAAATTTATCTTGCTCTTTCTTATGTTTTTAAAAGATATCGACATCTGTAATCTACTTCTTGTGACGCAAGAATTTAATAAAAAAAAATTTAATAAGAATTGATGGAATTCGCGTCCCTGATACTTAATCTTAATACATTAAATTTTTATGAAATTTATCTTCTAATTTACAGTGTACAATACATGTTTGCACTCTGTCGAAAATTGTCCAACGACCAATAATGGCTAATCTAGGAATTTAACAAAAAGACTTCACCAATCATAAAATCTTATTCGTACACGTGAAAGTCATTCTAAATTTGATACATTAAAATTCATAGAAAATTCATTTCCCTTTCTTTTATACGACACATCAAAATTATCTAGTTTATAGAATTCAATAAAATAGTTACAGTTCCAAGTATAAAAGGTTAAAGCAACGAGAGTATCTCTAACAATCGGACGAACGAAAGAACAATAGAAGGAAACAATGCTCGAGTTATACTAATCCTTGATCGGTTAACCTTAACTCATTAGACTCCCTCGGAAATAAATTACTTAGCCTTGGAATTTTATACTTTTCAATTTCATTTCTATTTTTTTTTTTTTTTTT